TCTAAAAAGGAGATCGAAAGCGAGATCCAAGTGTTGACACGTCTTCAGCCGCACAAACATATTATGGAATTTATTTCGTGGGGAAAAATCAATCAAAATATTTATCTTCTTTTGTGGTAATTGTGTTTTAATTGTCACACAATTTGTAAATTTAAACATTTAATAATGGTTTTAGTGAATACTGCGGATGCGGTTCATTACAAGACATTAAGTTACCGGTTGCTAATCAGCAGCAGTTGAACCGAATTGTATACCAGACATGTTTGGCCATCGAAAGGATGCATTCCATAGGCATAACTCATCGCGACTTAAAGATTGAAAATATTTTGTTTGATAACAACGGAATCGTTAAGTTATGCGATTTCGGTTCGGCCACTACTGACTCATACCTTCCGGACCTGAATTGGACACCAATTCAGAGGTCACTTCTTGAGGATGAGGTTTGTGTTGATTTAAATGCATACTTTGTTTAGTGTTATAATTGTTGTATTATTGTGTGCAACAGATGTGTCGACACACGACTCCAATGTATAGACCGCCCGAAATATTAGACACTTATCTCCATTTGCCAATCAATACGGCGATCGACATCTGGGCCTTCGGTTGCCTTCTATATTGTCTTAAGTTTGGGAGACATCCGTTTGAAGACTCGGCAAAACTACGGATAATTAATTGCAATTATACTATTCCTAACAACTCTTCTGATTCCGATTTAATCGTTCGGATTATTAAGTATTAAATGATATAATGTTTAGATGAAAAATGTTAGTAAAATATTTATTTTTTAAGATCTTGTATTAAAGTGGATCCCAACGAACGAATGCCCGCAACAGACATAATAGGTTTATTAGAGGAGAATTTTGTTGATCTGAACGCTCCGTGCGTTAATCCCCGTCAGACCACACCTACACAACCGACAAACCCAGTGATTGGAGTCGTCCCGAACGCCCCTTTGCCCCAAATACCCGGTTCAGCTCAGCCTTCATTCAGCTTTTCTGGATTTACTCGTTATATCAAAGATACGTCTAATAAAGTGATGCAAACCGTTCAGAAGTATGTGTTTTTATAGTGATATTGTTTTGAATTTCAATTAACATTTATTCCTATATTTAGTTCAATTGCTCGCCAAGACTTGGATATGTCTTTTTTGACGAGTCGTCTAATTGTAATGTCATATCCGGCCGAAGGTCTTGAGTCCGCGTATAGAAATCATATCGAAGACGTGAAAGCATTCCTTGAATCAA